TGATGATGGTGGTGATGATGATAATGAGGATGTTGATGATGGTGGTGATGATGATAATGAGGAGGTTGATGATGGTGGTGATGATAATGAGGAGGTTGATAATGGTGGCGATGATGATAATGAGGTTGATGATGGTGGAGATCATGATCATGGTGTTACTGTTAAGTTGTTTTGATGATGAAGAATGATGATGAAGAATGGTAATGAATGGTGATGATATTATGCAAATAATAAATTAACGATTTTGAAAACGGTGTGAAGAGGTTGTTGCTAAGAAAAAGACCGTGTGCAATTGCATCCCAAATGGCATCACCAATTTGGCCACTTCGCTTCCTAAAAGACAAGCTGTATTGCATATGCATGCAATTTAGATTAACTTCATCTTGTTGTATGTTTATAGTCCCTCCACGATTTGCATCCCACCTTCAAAACATAACCAAAACACGTGGTCAAGAATTGACTTTCACGTGTCCAGCACGTGGTAACCCCACGCCAAAATTCCAGTGGATTTTTGGCGGGAATGTCGTTGAGAATCAACAGACGTTGATCATACCAGCACTGAGAGTCATTAACCAAGGAGATTATGTTTGTCGAGTAAATAACAGCATGGGCGTGGCCAGTAGCACTTTTTATTTGCGAGTTTACAGTAAGTATAGTGTATATGGTTTTGTGTATAGCAATTTTTGTAGCAATTGCTTGGTTTCACTTGACGTCATTTCCATTCTCGTGCGGAATGTTTATCACCTGAATCACACGTTTTCAATAGAATTCTGTCTGGTTGACAGCACATAGTGGTCAGTGTATGTGCGGGAGGTCGAAGTTCAAGCCTCAGCTGTACCTACACTCAGGGTCTTAAAATAACTGAGAAGGTGCTGCCTTTGTTATTACATCTGCAAATGGTTAGACCTTCAAGTCTTCTCGGACAAGGACTTAAAACCATAGGCCCTGTCTTCCAACCCTTCCTAAGCTATAGTAAAATGGGGGACATAAAAGAACCTGTTGAATTATTCGTGTAAGAGTAGGGAATTGTCTCCCGGTTCAACAGCCAATCCCAATATGGATAACACTAATGTCATAACACTAATGTACTATCAAGTCACTCATGATTATAAGCTGCACGGCTGCTAATAGCGCCTTAATATGCAGCCCGTAAAGTCCTCCACTGGTTCATAAATCTATGTAAAGCGCATTGAGACGATGTATAAACTGCGCTATATAAGAACCTCCCATTAGGATATACCCCATAAAGGTTTTTAGTTTCCCCGAAGTGTGCAGTCGACTCTTATTATTGCTGTTCTTTATCTAATAGCTCTACCAAATATCACCACCGCACCAGCCAACGTCACTGTCGCTATCGGCTCTACAGCTAGCTTTCACTGTCAAGCACAGGGAGACCCAACCCCTTCGGTCACGTGGTTAAAATCCGATGTTGTGATTGGCTCAAGTGGTCGCTACTCTGTTCTTTCCAATGGGACGCTTTCTATCACCATGGCAACTGTCAGTGACCAAGGGTTGTTTTCGTGCCGGGCAGAGAATGCTGCTGGTCGAGATGAAAGGAAAGCTTATCTTGTGGTTACTGGTATGTTGGTTTAAGAATAATCAACAAATTTACCTTACGAACCACTAGTATGTTGGTATTCAATCTCTATCTTCTCTTTCCCCGCCCCCTCATTTTTCCCCCAATCCCCACTTCCCTTGCCCCAAACCCAGAGGCACATCAGAGGACCGCTATGCTGGCTATCAATCTATGAGGAAATCAAAAACTTGTCTTTGCATTGTAGTTTTGAGGTCATAAAATGAGCTGGCCCTTCCTATTTTCTTTCCTACTTCTCTTCCTTGTTCTCTTTCAACCTTACCTTCCATCCTTCTATCCATCCATCCATCCTTCTATCCATCCATCCATCCATCCGTCCATCCATCCATCCATCCATCCATCCATCCATCCATGCATGCATCCATCCATCCA